CTATGACTGTGATTAGTAATGATTGGCACAAGTTAGGACCAGTCTTAGGCACTTTTGGTCCTGAATGCAAGATTTTAATCTGCTATTTACATGCTGAAGGATCTTTTTGTGTGTTAAAGAAGAATGCTAACATGCCTTTTCAAATTGTAAGTACCAGGATTAAGACGTTGTTTAGAATCTGATACAGATCAAAGCCCATAACAGAAACTTCTATTAACAGAAAATGTTTCTCCACATCTTTTAGCTGCAGGCTTCTGGCTTCCTTGGAAATGTGGAACTGAATGTTGGAACTGCAATTGCGTGTTACTTAGCACAAGAAGGAGCAGATATCAATTATGCAAACCACAGGGGAAAGGCTCCATTAGACCTCATCACAGATGGAAGGATTGTCCAGATTGTCAAAGACTTCTCACAGAAATTCAGGTAAACCGTGTCCTCTGGAAACTGGCTACAGATAGTTCCTTGCAAATACAGAGTACTCCCACAGCACGGGGGTGTCACTCATGCAGCTATTGTTCCAGGAGGGATGAAGCACCTTGGAATCACTTTGGATGTCAGTCTGGGCACCTCCTGTGTCATCTGGAGCTGGTTACTGACCAGGGGTTATTTAAGGCTGCATAATGCCATTTGAAAGAGTTGGGAAAAGCAGATTAATACTGCTCGGTGCAGACTTGGCCTCTAAACTTACAGAGAGCCCTGAGAAGACGGGCCACTGAAGCCAAGAGCAGCTTCTTTCTTGCAGAGTAATTCTGGGTTCTGTTTTACTTTACTGCAGTAAAGTCTAAACAGAGAGGAAGTGTGACAAAAGAGTGGCACCAAAATCCACAGAGTTCATTTCAGAGCTGGATAAATGCTTGTTTTTCAACTGATAAAGAGATTGCTGAGAAAATGCCCAAGGGAGAGCAACAAGTCAGAGCTGGCTTTATCTCTGGTTGTGAGAAACATTTGTTTGGATTTTGACTTTGCAAACATGAAAGCAGAGTTCTGTTTGATCTGAGGGCACAGACCCACAGTTACATTACTGCTGGAGGGACCTACTGCCACTTTGGTAGGAAGCTGGACAGTAGATTTCCCTCCCCCCAAAACTTACTGACTTTGTATCAAACGACCCGAAACCACCCCTCCAAAAGAGCAGTTTCAACTTGTGTAAGTATCAGTCATCCCTGCTCTTTCCTTTCTTTTTAGATAGATCCAGTCAGAATCCCAGCTGCTAGAGGCTGAGTTGGTCCCACCAGAGCAGTGAAGGTTCACAAGTCTTTGCTACCCGAGCATCTCCTGCTCTCCATGCAGTGCTTTCCAGGGATCAGTGCAGTGTTATGTGATTGCTGAAGGAGGACCTGGAATACGTGGCTCAAGTCTTATTCTGTGTTCATGATTGCAGGGAACAGCAGGTTTCTTCAGAGAGCTCAGCCATCACCTGCAGCCTTCGCCGTGTGCACACCACCCCTAACACAATGACCAACCTTAGTGTCTCGAGTGTGGCGGTCCCCACAGAGTGCCTGGTCTGCTCAGAGCTGGCCTTGCTCATCCACTTCTTCCCATGCCAGCACAGTATTGTGTGTGAAGGTAAGTCACGAGCCTACTGTGCTGTTTGTGTCCTGAAACAACCTCAGCGTGATTTCGGTGCCACCATCTTATCGAAGATGTCCAAAGCTATCTATGAAAAGCAGGGTGCTCTGACTACCTCAGGCAGCTTTACTTGTGCTTACAGATGCCCTGGATAATTCAGATGGCAAGCCAGATGTTTCAGCTCTAGCTGGCAGTGCTTTATCCATCCAAAGCCTCCTGAGAAGGATTTCAGTCTTCTTTGGCTTTTGTTACTGGTTTGCATTTCAGTTGTTTTAATGGTAGCCTGCTCAAACATGTCAGCAAGTTTGTTATCTTGCAAGGCACTCACAGAGAATTTGGTAAGGATTCTGTGCCAGAGCTGCATCTTCTTCCCTCAGAGCAAAGGGCTGTTTTGATCCACAGTGCAACAGTTGCAGTAGCACAGAGCATTGAGGACATAAAGGTGTTGTATTTGCTACTAGTGTAGGAAAGACTAAACCAAGAGACTAGGACATAGCTCAAAAAGAAGGTAGTGTCCTCACTTCTATGCAGAAACAATCTCTTCATCATCCAGGGAGGTCTCAGGTTGTTCAAAGGTGATATTCTTGAGTTTGTTGTCTTCCTCTTGAGTCTGGCATCAGTGGGCTTAATTGCAATCTCTTCTTGTATTGTTCATGGTAGAATGCTCCAGGAGAATGAAGAAGTGCATCAAATGTCAAGTGACAATAACCAAAAAACTGAAACAAGGTATGTTTGCTGTTCCTACTGTCAAGTGCTATGGGAAGGGTGCTGTATAGTGTTAGTTTGAGCAACATCAGTGTTTCCAGTGACATAAGCATAAGGAAGGAGTTTGGTTGGTTTTAGTTTGGGGTTTTTTTTTGTGTCTGTTGCATTGACCACCTTTAGAGAGGAAGAGGTAGATTCAGATGTCATGGACCAAGCTCAAGCTGCATAGACAGGGCATTTGAGGAAGCTTGTCCTGTACCTGGCTTATTTTGTGTACTGAAAGCAAATATGAGGTTCTCCATGTGTCAGTGTAACCATTTTCACAGCTGGTGATTAAACAGTGAAAATTTATGAGAAAGGAAAAACTACATCTTGTGAAAGCCTTGCTTTTCTCCCTTGGCTGAAATTGCAGTGCCTGTGCAGGGCTGGCATTAACCAGCTAGCCAGGAATCACTAGTCTAGATTGTTTTCATAAAGCTCTTTAGCCTGGTTTTAAACAGCTTGTTTTCTATCCACATTAGTCAGTGTCCAGAATGAGCAATGTCAGGAGGTAGAAGCAGGCTTGCACTTGCCTTAGAATTAATGTGTGTTGCCCACTGAAGCTTTTTTCTGTAGGAGCTATGAGAGCTGATCTCTTTCTAGCTGAGGTCGCTCTTGGATTAAGTGCATGTGGAAATGAATTACATGTCCTGCTGCTCATGGCTTAGTATTGTGGACTCCTTTGTTGGAGTCAGGCTGCAGTCTTATGACCTGATACCTGTACAGAAGCATAGGGGAAGCAAGGATCTGTCTGATGGCGTTGGACATACACACCTGACAAAACCAGAAATCCTCTTTGGAACTCCATAATGCAAAAAATTAGGAAGTTTACCTGGCAGTAGGCAGAAGCATTTGTCTTGGCTACAGACTGGCAACAAGGTAATGGTGGGAATTCCAAATGAGAATACACAGAAGTCAGTGCAAGTGATGTAAAATAGTTTCTTCTTGTTTTACCATGTATGTCCTGAAAGACTCAACCAGAAATTTGAATCCTAACTGTGAAGAGGAGGTTGAGAACACATAGTACTCACAGCACTGTCAGGATTCCTGGGCTAGTATGGCACAGCATTTCAACCAGCTTTGAGTGTTTTGACTTGCAGGTAGCACAGCATATTCTGGAAGGCAGGACGCTTCAGACAACTTCTTCAAGGAACACAAACTCAAAGTAAAGCACACACACACACAAACCAGCCGAGCATCTAAATGGACAAAAGCAACACTCGACAGTCTGTAGAAAGCATCATCTCAGGCTTATTACTTGAGGAATCTCTGAATAAGGCTCAGTGAAGAGAGTTTAGTCTGAACTAGTTGCTGCTTTTGAAGGGCAGTCTCACTAAAGAGACACTGCATGAGGCAGAGCAGACAGGGACTAACTCTCTTCCTGCTCTCCACCCCTGCAGACAGCACTGAGGTGGAGTGCAGCCCCAGCTCTGAATCCACAGATCAGAGGAAGCTCATGGAGGAACTGCAGAACCGCTACCGGCAGATGGAAGAGCGCATCACCTGCCCCATTTGCATCGATGACCAAATCAAACTGGTCTTCCAGTGTGGACATGGCTCTTGCCCAGACTGCAGCACAGCCCTTACTGTCTGCCCCATCTGCAGGCAGGCTATCCGGGAAAGGATTCAGATCTTCGTCTAAGGATACGCTTGCTTCCCTTCCCATCCCCACCTCCCTCCTTTCCTTCCTTTTTGTTTGCATTTTAGAAGAGAAATGCTAGTCAGGCTGATGTGTTTGGCTACCTGGAAAGCCATCCTGAAAGAGAGGGAAGCCAAGAAGTGATGGTACTTGGGTGGAGGTAGAAGGAATCCCCTTTACATGTAATGTCAAAAAGTCAAGGAGCGGTGCTTGAGGGCAGGCAGCCCCCTCACCCCGTGCTGCTGATCCATCACAGAGACCTGAAGTAAAGGACACTGGCCTGCTTACTGAAGATGTAAGAGACTTCCAGACTGGATGCAACTAGACTTCCATATGCAGATCTTTTCAGTGGCATCCAGCTCCAGTGACTGCATCGTGTTGAGTGCCCTGCAGTGTCAGCCTTGCACTGCTCCAAAGGGAGATGCTGTAGAGGGATGTACCTTATACCTTGGCAGGCAATGGCAAAGCATACCCTTGCACTTCACGTGAGGAGATACCAGAGATAGTCATGGCATCAGTTCTGCCAGATGCCTGTCAGTGGTAGGGGGGTAACGTCCTAGGACAGCATGCTCTCTGCACTACTGCGTATGGGCTCTGCAAGATCTTGGATGTAATGAGGTCCTAAAGACAGAGTGTGTGCCTTAGAGATAAAGTAGTGAACACTGATTGGAGAAAATATGTTGTTACAACAAATATTTCTAACCTCTAAGTGACACTCTTCTTCCATTTTTAGTTTTTCTTTTGGCACAACCATGTGTTCAGAGACTCCTGAGCTTTCTATCCATAATGCCAAAGGCAGGTGTTAAATACTCCAATCAAAGTGTAAAGAAAATAAATAGTAATAATTAAGACATGAGAAAAAGGGATTTCATTTTTGTTTCTTGGTTTTGCAGCAAAACTTAATAAAATAAAATCTATATTTTCCTGAGCATTAAAATGAATGTACAAACAGCAGCTGAGATATGGATCCAGCTCTATTGTGTTTTCCAACTGTGTGGCTGAAAGAATATTATCCACTGAATCCATCCTGTAATGTGTTGGTGGAAGAGGCAACCCGTAGGGCTAGTGTGCTGTGTGTGTACATACATAGGTGTTTGTGTGTGGTGAACATCTTTAATGACACAGTTAAGCATACTGTTTGTTACATATTGTAAGCAATGTTTAAAACAAACCATTGGATTTCTCTCCTGTCTTTGTTCATTAGCAAAGAGGTGGCAAATCTTTTAAAGAAATGTTTAACTTTGTGGAATATATGGGAGTTACAGGAGTATTTTTTTGCAACTTCATGGTCCCTTGGTGTAGTTTTGTGTCACAGCCCTTGAATCCTATAGATAATCTTTGTCAACATCTCACCTGAGGCTGTTTAATTTCAGTGGATTTTTTGAGCTATGAAAATGGATCAGATTTAAGTCTTTATCTGCATGTCTGATTGTTACCAAAGCTAATTCTGAAATCAGCTTTAGGTTACATGGGTGTTAAATACAACCCAACCAAGTGTTTAACTCTACTGTGCAAAGGCTGTTTTCAAAAGGTGCAAGGCTGAGGCATCTAATCCATTATCAGAGGGGCAAATACTTATATCCTAGAAGTTCTTGGTGGTGTAAATTCCTCTGGAATAAAGCAGACATTTACCCAGAATGTTTGTTGTAGGGCAGCAATAGACAAATACTGTAAGAGCTGCTTTAACCACTATTTGTTGCTAGTCAGTAGTTTTCCAAATTATAGATCACCCCATCTAATGTGTTAATGCTAAGCATTCTTTTTGAAATGCAGTTCTCTCCCAAGGCTCTACATCAAATCCAGAAGCAGTTTACTAAAGGTAAAACTGATCAGTGCTTCATCATGTGTGTTAAATGTGTATGTGTGCTGGCACTTGGGGAAGAAGGGACAGGGGTGACAAACTGTTCAGTACCAGTTTTGTTCTTCTCATCCCTTTAGATCTGCCTAAGGTGTCAGTTTATTCAGGAAAAACCAACAGGGAGCATCTGCTTCATTTGGTTTTAATGATTTCTTTGGCTACTAAATGAAGGGAAGCTTCCAAGTGATTGTTCTCCCTAAAGGAAAGAAGTTGTACGAAGACCAACTTTCGACTTCCAAGCTGTGCAGCTGTTGCAGAAAATGGAGGCTTTTTTTTCCCCCTCTGGCTAATGAAGAGATTCTTGTAGGGAACCAAGGGGTCGCCCCAGTTTAATGTTGTAAGGCAAGTTCCATTTCAGTATCTCCTGATCTTATTTTCATCTCTGAAATTCACTGTATGGCCAAAGTCGCGATGGGGTTTTGCACAGTGTAACATACGTGCTGAAGCCCTACAGAAATGGTTTGTAAACAGAATGTGGGTTGGGAATATGTTCTTTCATTTCCCTGTGCCTGCTCTGATTGCTTTTGAGGAGCAAGCATTGAGCTGTTAAGCACTATTTTAACCCATTCATTTTCCTAGTAAGAAGAAGGGAATTGCTGTACCACAACAGCGAAGCAAGATGGTCAGTGGAGCCACAGGACCAAGAGATAACAGAAGGCAAGCAGATGCCCATATGTGCCAGGTATGTTTTTGACAAGCCCATGACAGGCTCACCTCCATGGGAGTCTGAGGCTCTGGGGAAATAAAGAAGGATCTGCTGTTTTATCTTTCCTGATAAGCCTGTTTATGTGGAGAGCCAGGATCAGGGGGTGACCTGTGGCCAGTGAAGTGCCACAGTGGGTGCAGTGATTAGCTTTGCCTACTTGCTAATTTGTTTGGTTCCTGGGTAATCTGGTCTGTGGATAGCCAGTAGCTTTCTGCCTGATGTTTCTTAACAGTTGTTCTCTCACAAATGAGATTGACAGGTCTTCTGCAAATGAGCTGGCGAGTTCCTTGTTATCACTGGGACTTCTCCCATCTCCTGAAATGCAGCTCTGTTCCTTGCAGCAGTGTACAGCAGTGGTTTTGGAAGGGGAAGCTCTTGCTTAGTCTTTCTGGTTAAAACCTTAGCTATGAGACAGCAGCTCAACTCATGCTCAGAACCAGGGTTTCTAAAGCACTTCCTTTGGAAGTGTGGCCAAAACTCTGTTTTACAATCAGCATGAGACTGAGGGAGTAGAGGGAGAGAGATGGCTTGTTGAAAGGCAGTCAGGAAAAGAACCCATCTCTCCTTTGATTATGTTCCCACTAGTCCCTGCTGCTCCCAGGGTTTCGGGAGGATTGGTGCATCCACAAATGAATTACAAATCATTAAGGGAGCCCACCAAAAAGCAACAACAAAGATATTCCCACCCAGGGAAGCAATTCTTCCTCCTGAGGAGAGCTGAGAAAAAATTCTCCCTCATTTAATTCCTGAAACTCTACTCGCTACGTGGCCATGACTGAGCTTCAGAGTGGGGTCAAGCCCATGTCTCTTTGGTAACACAGGGTCAGGCTAGTACAGGCATTTGTGTGAGCTGCAGCTCCAAACTGACAGTTAAGCAAAATATTCCGTTTTCTTTGCCAGCTGGAGCTAGCCCTTGTTTGCAGCTCCTTTGCTATTCAGCAGACCATAGATTTTTCTAGGAACACCAGCAGATGCTGATCACGAGGGGCTGCATGATAGAAAGTGGGAGAATGCTTGGGGGCTGAAGAGCACTCTTCTTGTGGCTCCCTGGGGAGTGCTGCTCCCTGCTACAGCAGATACAATCCTTTTTAGTCCATGACCCACTGTAGAAAATACAAGCTTTAACCGCTGTTCCCACAGGAACCATGCAGGAATGTTGGGTTCTTGTGGGCTTTTTTTTTTCCCCCAAGTTGTGAGATGGAGGATAAATATGTAAGTGCTTTTAAAATAAAGAGCTATATGAGGATTTGCTAATTCTTTTCACATGGGCCACCAAGGAGCCAATATGTGGTAAATCACATTCAGCTGCTTGCACTCTCCCTCCCCTGCCTGTGGCCTGTATTTGGACTGGTGCCCTAGAGATGAAATGCTGATGTTCGTGCCTTGAGCCATGAGATATTAGGTCTTTCTTCTTTCCCTGTCTTCCCACCTCCACAGAGAATGCCCACTTCACAACAGGGGAAGCTAATGGGAGCAATTTGTTCCAATGCTGAGCAATACACACTCAGTCCATGGATAAAGAGGTATCATGAGAGGCGAGGTATTGATTTTAGACAGTCAGACAGCTGCAGTTGTAGCACTAATGGTTGTTCTCTGTGTAGCACCTCTTAGCATGAGTATATATGTTGTAATAGATTGTTCTTGTGGTGTTTGGGGAACTTGAGCAATGCAGTGCCTGTGTGCTTCCTGACCTGCTGCACCAGGGCTAACTCTGCTCTCTAACTCGAACACAGCAGAGATATTTAGAAACAGTGCTGAAAATAACATTTACTGTTAGTAATGCTGAATATAGGGAAGAAGAGAAATGCTAAGAATAAACCATGGAAGGGGGAAAGTACTTATTTTTGAGCTAAAGCTTACCCTTGGGAATGGAGCCATATGTTGTGTCTTATACAGCAGCCCCCCTTTAAACATTTCAGCAACTAAGATTGAAAGGAGCAAAACAAGACTGAGGTGATTTAACAAGGAAAACGTATTGTGTTGTGCAAATGATCCAATGCTTTATGTTCCCCATAGTCCCTAGTTGACCATTGTAGGTTTTATGCAGCATTATGTAGCATTCATTCCCTTCTGACAGCTGGTTAAAGTCTGTTTTTTCATGTGACGTTTATTGCATGGAGAGAGATTTCAGGATATGCCTCCCTGACTACTTAGAAAATCCCAGCTCCCTGCAGATGATATCCAGGTCCTGGTCACTGCTGCTAGCAGCATGAAGACAAAGCAAAGTCAGTTCTGCACCCTGCCTTCCTTTCCTGTTCCCCATTACACCATATGGATTCCCTCAAAGTGTAATGTGTTCCACTGCTTTTAGACACTGTGCAGAAACCCAAGCCAGGAATGTTTTTCTGTCCAAATATAGTCAGGATGACAGTTCTCGCCTGGAGTCCAAACCAAATACCCGCACTTGAGAACCTGAGACCTCTAAAAGCCATCAGAACTCTGAAGTCACAGCAGCAGTTCTCTGCCCTTGTGTAAAAGCAGTGCCTTCAGGCCCTCATGGAGGGTATTGTCAGCTCTTGGAAAAGACAAGGATGAAATGAATTTAGGGTTCTGACTAACTACCTGCCCTTGGCACAGGGCAGCAGCGTCCTCCTGGGAGATGTCTGAAGCATCTGAGAGACGCTTAAATTCTGATAAGTGCTCTAGATTTGAGGCCACTGGTGGCTGCATCTGAGAGTCCTTTAAGCTCAAGTATCTCTTGGGAAAGCCATGAGATCCTTAACCCAGGGCAGAGGAAAGGGGTGAAGTGTCAACAGATGTGCACTCTGGTCCTAGTAATCCTTAAACTATCTATGGAAAAGAGCTGTGCTTGAAACTTAACAACCACGGTATTCATGAACTAGGTGTAATCCTGAAATTCTGCTTTTTATCAGCAGCACGTCGCTGAGGATTCTGGCCAGAGCTTGTACACCAAGGAATCCACATGCACAGAGACTTTATCAGAAGCATTGTTACTGTGCACAGCATCGAGTTCATGTGTCTCCCTTAGCTCCCCAAGTTGCATCTGTAAGTTCTGAATACCTCAGCATAAGAGCTTTCCTCATCTGACTCTCATTGCCACGATAACTGAGGTTTATCTTGGCCTTACTGCTGAGCTGGTTTCTGAGCAAATACTTGGCTTCAGTTTTTAAAGTTCTAGAGGCATTCAGCAGCCAGGGGTTTGGTGAAGTTGGATGCAGAGGCGCTGAATTTCTATGTGGATGGGCACAGTGCATTCCCAGTTTATGGGGGGAAAGCAAACTATGTGCTTTCCAAGAAACCCAGCACTCTGATCCATCAAGGTCTAACCTGCTTCCTCTGCTTGATACCTTGATTGGAAAGCAGCATCCTAAATGTGTCACAGAGGCTATGAATCATTTCTAAGCTAAAGATTCCCATTCACCCACCACATGTGGCACCAGAAGGTAAATAGATGATGTACAGCATTGTCCTTTTCACCATTCAGACTACTTCAGTAACTCATGGGAAAGAGCTTGGTGTGCTCACCTTTAGCAGATGCACTCATGAGAGATTGACAAACTTGTTCGGGGGACTTGAGACATGGGTAAGTTTAGGATTGGTGGTGTTACCAATTTCTCAACAAAACGTTGCAAGCTTGGTTATGTACTAGGGGAAACAAATCAAATTAACCCATTTTCCATTGTTAACAGTGCAGGAATTTTCTGAAACCTCCCAGATGCTTCAGATACCCCCTAGGAATGTTTTACAGTGGCTGGCAACAGAGCTACTTCTTCCCTGCCACTTGCTTGTGAAACCAGGAGATTGCACAGTTCCTTTTCCTCTGCCTGAATGCTCAGCTGAGAGCAGCCCCCCCTCAGGAGCACCAAGCATCCAGACAGAAAAATGATGCTGTTTCTGAAAACCTGACAAGTGCTGAGTAAGCTTTGTAAGAAGTCCTGAACTGAGGGAATCTCTCTCATTATTCAGTTTAAAGCCATTCCCCTTTGTCACTACATGCCCTTGTACCAAGTCCCTGTCCAGTTTTCTTGTCGGCCCCTTTAGGTATCGGGGGCTGTTAAGAAGGTCTCCCTGGAGCCGCCTTTTCTCCAGGCTGAACAAGTACAACTCTCTGAGCCTGTAAACCTCATGGAAGCTGGAGCTGATGTTTACTTTTATCTGAGTTTGTAAACTCCCTGAGCAGAATGTCCTAAGCAGAGAAGCCCTCCCTGCTCCCTCACAGCATCTCATTTTTCATTTCCCTCCAGAAGACAGCCCTTGACTAATGACAGCTCTTCTAGCGTTAAGCATCCCTAATGCAACATTCCAGGGGTGTGATGCTGGCTTCTGGATTCCTTTTTCTACCCCCTCCCCCAATTCTTTTCATTACATAAAGCTGGTAACTGCACATTTGTCCTCTGTTGATTACAGTCAGTTAAAAGAGTTCACATCCATCCCAGCTTGTTTCACTTTGCTGCTTCTCCTCCGCCAGCCCAACTTTCAGCTGCAGTAACATGATTCCACTTGGCAGAGGCTGAGAGAATCTTTGGCACATTGGAAAGAAGCTTAATGTAAAGGCTACTCTCTTCTTTCTTAATTTTTTTTAAAGCTTATTGAAACTCCAGTGCTTCTGCACAGCTTTGACAGTCACTGCAGGGCTGCTCACAAACGCTCCAAATGCAAGAGGATTACCAATGCATTCTGTGAAGAGAATGTCTTAGTATCTGTCACATCTCCCTCTAAGAAGCATTCAGGAAATACATGGATCAAGTAGAAGAGCTTTCTGCAAACAGAAGGAAGAGCTTCCTCTTGGTTGACAAGAAAAAGAGTAATGGCTGTAGAACCATGGTGGGATTTTTATGCATATTCCCAGTGGTGGCTTTGCTGGCTACTGTTGGAGATCCAGCTGGAGCTGCACTTCAGGAAAGTCAGGTAGGAGAAAGGATCTGATTCTCAAATGCTTGAAAGGGGAGTGGGGATATCAAACATATGTGCATGTGTATTCTTTTAGAAGATGAATACATTCAGGAAGCAGTCTAAACACTATATAAATAGCTCTAAAGGCAACAGAATCTGTTTGTGGCTGTTTGAGTCCCTTTTGCAAAGGATCCTAAAAGCTAATTATGCATCTAAACAGAACCAGGTCATTAGAAGTGTGTGTGCAAGTTGCAGGCAGCCAAACAGTGAATGCACAAAAGATTTGAGATATTTTTCCTCAGAGCTCTGGCTATTCTTCCGAGTACCTCTGCTTCCCCAGCCTGGTGTGATGTGGCATGCATGTATTCCGATGTCTGCAGCAGCAGTTCCTAGGAACTCCAGAGGCAGGACTCATGCTGTAAGATCTAAACTGGGAGTTAACACTGAACCTACAGAGACCATTAACTGATACTAACTTTCTGTCAAGGTCCATCTTTAGCAAGATATTGCAGGACAGACTGGTTGGGATTCAGGAGGAGCTGTGGTAGGGCTCTGGGACTCTCAGAAGCTGATCTTAACTTCTGCTTTTAGCTTAATTTTACCTTAAATTAAAAAAAACCTAAGCCCAGTCTTTAGGTGCTCACATCCTCTCCTGCTGTTGGTGTCTGTGAAGATCCTGGCAACAGCACCCCTGGTTTGCATTGTATGCTCAGGACTCATACTAACTGGTGCTAAGTCAGTTACGTTACTGCTTAGTTTGAGTGGAACTGCATGACTTGGGGAGGAGAAGAGAATGAATTGCATTCATCACAACTCCGTGAAGTAAATTATTGGAGGTCTGACTGCACAGGGTGAATAGTGTAGAGCAGGGATGTTGGCCAGTGTCTGCCTTTATATATGTTGGCGTTTATTGCAGTGGTTGAGTACCTTCTAAGCTTTGTGAATGTTTGAGACCTTAACCCACAGTCACATGAGTTTCCAGCTCAGAGCAGCTGACCTCTTCTCCAGTATTGCCATAATCTTGGTTCTTTGGCATCCAGGCAGATCCTTTTGATCCAAATTACACTGAAATTTTTAACCAGGTCATCCCATTTCTGTGCGAATCCTCCGTCTGAGCTGTAGCATGTGTGGTTCTCCCCTCCTTCCCAATTCAGTTTGCAAGACTTCCTTAATTAAAAGCATCCTTTTGCACCAGTGGGAGGTAGAACAAAGGCTAGAGAACAACAGAATGTTTGAGCAAGGGAACTCAACCGTCTTGTTCCAGTGACCGGGTCAGATACAGGTTGCAGTGATTGCTCTTGGCCCTGAGTCACCCTTACTTTGGTCTGTATTTGAGGGACACATGACTTTCTCTCCTGCACTTTTTCAGCACTTACAGCCTCAGGGTTTTAAGGTCAATGGCTTCTCTTACAGCTCCAGTAGATCACTGAGACACAGACTAGCTGATCCTTCACCACCTTGCCTGTGCTGCACAATTTTCCTTTCATATCAAGGCAAAATGATATTCATAGAGTAGAATCAGAGGTAAAAAGCCACTGGAGTGGAGGGAAAGAGGCAGCAGCCAGTTTATCTTCATGTATGTGTGCCTTGGTGAAGAAGGGGCCAGGCCTTGAGCTAAGCAAACCTACAAGTATGTGTTCCTCAGCCAGATCCCTTAATACAGCAAAGTGGTAAAAGGGAAAAGTGATCCTGTGTGTTCTTTCAAGAGCAAATTGGCATCTGAAGGCTCCCATAAGTGTGATCTAATACCCTGCCAAAAGCTTGCAACTTAGAAGTCAAGGGATTAAGTAACATCTCTGTTTCATAGGTGATGCTCTATGGTGTTTGCATTCCTCATGTTCCAGGGCTCTGCTGACTTCACGTTGTGAGTCAGAATCACAGCTTGAGCTGGAAGAAAAACTAAGACTGTCCTAGAAAAGAAAGACACTGAGATGAGAACAAGGTAGAAACTAGTGCAGCTCACAGATGGGAGCAAAGGAGCCTGGTGGCCTGTTAGAGTCCCTCAGGCTGTTGCCAGTGATGACTAGCTGTAGTCACAGAGGTGCTGGTGATTTGAGCAGTACCTGGCAGCTGCTGCTTTGGGCTCCTTGTCTTTTCTTGCCATTGGCTTGCTGTGAGGCCAGCGAGATGCTGTTTTGACTCTCAGAGCCTCAGCTCTTCCATGAGTAACACAAAGACAGCTCTTGCTTTCTGTAGAATGTGCTGTGAGGCTGAACAAACACGTACTGGTGCAGCTTTTGTAATGTTGCCACTGTACCTATCAGTAAGTGTCTTGGTGCCTCTGGAGCAAAGATGACTTGGAGATGCTCAGTGTCTTAGACCTGAAGAGGGGAGGCAGAGCAGGTAGGTTTCCAGAGAACAATGTTGGGTCCCATTCTTTTACCTCCATTACTCAGGGCAAAAAGGCTTTTATAGTTTGAGTTGGACGTGTCATGAAATTTGATGTCTTTTACTGTATGATGGTTTTAAATGCACTCCAGGGTTTCCAGGTTTCCTATTTACTTTGAAAGCATTTCAGATCCCCAGTGTAGCTCTATGAAGAGCTCTCTGCACAAAGAGTTGCCTGTTTTCCTCATTTATCCAGTATTTCATTTTTTCCTGTGGTGAAGCTGGAGAGCAATAGCAAAGTGAAGAGGAAATGAAAACTTTCCAGGAAGAGCTGCAGCACTGGCTGTGGCCAGAAACCTACTGAGGCCTCGTTTCTGTCTGTCTCTCCTGCCTTGGTTTTGTTCAGCGCACTTGGAACAGGCACACTTTGCACAGCACTACCAGCTGCTGCACTGGTCTTGTCCCCTGGACACCCTTAAGGGAGTACCAGTTCTCCCCAGCCTCCACATGCCCCATACCTGGTAGTTTCTCTTTTAAACTGCTCAGTCCTCCTGTTTTGTCTTTTAAGGAAGATGCCATATCACCTGGGCTTCATGGAGTGAGCGCCTCTGCTTCGTACAGTGCAGCTTTCCCTCCTCGGCCTCCAGCACGGAGAAAACGATACACGATCACCCCAGGACACTTGAAATGGGACCACTTCAACTTGACATATAAGTATGGATTTGTATTAGCACTAAGAGATAGCACTAAGCAATGCCGGGGTCTTGAGTTCTCCTGCCATGGGTGTAAATATTAACCAGACGAGTACTGCTAATCCATTTGCTAGTGAATGGGTTGTTGCTAAAGCCACTCTCAAGTAGGAATAATTTCAAATGCTACACGTCTTACTCCAGCTGTGGAACACATGAAGCATTGTCACTATGCTAGAAGCTAGAATCGTTCTATGATTCTATGCTGCAGCGCTGATCAGGACATGTTGACCTTCCTGTGGACAGCAGGGGTTAGTTTTGCCTCTTAAGACAAAGAACAAGTGGTTGGCGTGAACCCAACTCCTTCACAACGAGCAGAGAATATATCTCCCTTTACACTCATCCCATCTGAATTGTCCAGGTTTACACTCATTAACAGCCTGGCTTGATACAAAACCTTCTGCTCCCTTTAGGATGTGCTGGGCCGAAGGGAGAACATAAAGAGCATAGCTAAAACACAACCAGAGGGGATAGCAGAATATACACAGCTTTTCCCAATTGCTACACTTCAGGCAGTTTCCTGAATGCAGATCTTCACTGGGGACAAGGTAAGTTTCTAGGAGCCATCTGTATGTTTCCATGGTACAAACAGGGGTTCTGCCACCCTGCACCAGTAGTATTCTTACGATTCAGCTGCAGCTATACCTGTGGCCTAAGCAAAACCTCTCTCGAGTCTTTCTCCCAATTTTTCTCAAAGAAAGTAACTTATTTCACTGCCAGACCTTTGATATTCTGCCTGAGTGTGTTAACAATTCAGTGTGTGCACATACATGGCACTCATTGTAGCCTGAGTGTTACGAACAGGAGTTCCCTGCTGCTGACATGCAGTTGTTTCCTCTTCTAGCAGCACTGCACAACAGACTGGAGATGGTAGGATAGTTTTCCAGAAGAATCTAATCTAAAATGATGATCTTGAGGAGGGCCAAAAGCTGTAGGCCAGAGCATGTGATATGAAAGAGTATCACTAATATATTAGTCCTTGTGGGGGGTTATTAAATCCTCTTAGTATTGAGTTCAAGATATTTCTGTTTTGAACCTATTAGAGCGAATATAAAGGCTTGGTTGTCCGATTGCCTTGAGAGCCTTCTGTTGATGTTTGAAAAGAGCACTTCCCTGAAGCTGTTGTGTGTCCCTACAGAATCCTGTCCTTCCCAAGAAACCTCATAAACGCCAGGGACACACGCAGGGGACTGGCGGCTGCTTTCCGCATGTGGAGTGAAGTTTCACCCTTCAGCTTCAGAGAAGTGCCACGCCACGTGGAGAGCGACTTGAAAATAGGTAAGGCTGGGTGGGGACACTGTGTTAACTCCATCAGGGATTGTAGGGTTTCAGTACATAAACCAGAAGTTTGGAGGCGGGAGATGGTCTGTCTTTGCTGTGTGGATTCAGCAGGGCCTCTTGGATAAGGTTTGGGGCATCATTTGCCCTCAGTCAGGTAGAGCAGCTGCTTTCAGTTGCTCTGAGTAAATGTTAGTATCAGAATTAACACTTTTCTGCAGTCAGGAAGCTGTAGGTGTTTGACAAGCATTAAAAATTCTCAGAATCTGCCACTGGGACAGGTTTATCTCTATCCCACAGGTGAGGAAACTGAGTACTGAAAGGTGAATGACGTATGCAGGGTTGCACAGAGCCAAAGAACAGGTGATGGATTCCAGCTTCTTTATGGCTTCAGTCTCCCTTTTGTTGGTCTTATTGAAGCACCATTTTTTTCTGTTACAGAATCCCAGCCTGGTTTGGGTTCAAGGGGACTTTAAAGCCCATCCAGTTCCAACCCCCTGCCATGGGCAGGGACCCCTTCCACTGGAGCAGCTTGCTCCAAGCCCCTGTGTCCAGCCTGGCCTTGAACACTGCCAGGGATGGGGCAGCCACAGCTTCTCTGGACACCCTGTGCCAGCACCTCAGCACCCTCACAGGGAAGAATTTTTAGCTAACACCTAATTTAGATCTAATCTAAACCCTTCCTTCTGCCCCTGTGTTGCTATCCAGTAGTTACTTCCAAGTTTCTCTGGCCTAGGAAAAGGTTAGTGCTGAGGTATTATCTGCTCAGTCTCAACCCCAGATGTAAATTCTTGCTGGATTTATGGTCTGTGTGAAATGATGATTTCCTGTGCAGATGGCAGCAGCACTAACAGAACCAGCACATCTACTGTTGTTTTGCAACGCACTCTTCACTCTCATGTTGTGTGATGCTCCTCAGACATGTGATTTGCCTTCGCAGGGGCCTGTCCTGTTGCCACGTGTGAGTCCAGGTGGCCAAATCCCAGGGGATGCATGGTACACTGTGATGCTATCACAATGCTAGCAAAAAGATGGGAAGCAGCTATGGCTCTATGGCTATCTATTTATCTACATGTAAAAGGGGAACGGTTCCACCCTGGGGTTGTCATCTTGCTGTCCAACTCCTCTTCAAATGAAAAATAATTCCAAGTGATGTTGCAAAAAAGAGCTCAATGTTCCTTTTGGAAAAGTAGACTCATTTGTGACCACTGGAAAGCTACGTCTGGGGTCTCACAGGACTGAGTACGGTTTGCATCACATAGCAATGACAACGGCTTGCATTTATTTTTCCCTTTGTGGCTCCGTAGGTTGGAAAACGTACAGGATATCAGCTTGGGATTTTTAGTAAACCACAGGTTTACAGATGTTGTATCCTGCCGGGCTTACCCTGCTAAATACACTAAATCATCATCTTTCACAGGCTTCTACTCTATCAACCACACGGACTGTCTGGAGTCTCTCATTCACCACTGCTTTGATGGCACAACGGGGGAGCTTGCCCATGCCTTCTTCCCACCCAACGGGGAAATCCACTTTGATGATCATGAATACTGGATATTGGGGAACACCCGCTTCAGCTGGAAAAAAGGTAACACATGTCTTGGAGCACATAATGAATGCCTATAGGATTTAGATGAGTTCTTGTTCCGGGCTTTACCTGATCTGGGAAAGACACAGCAGAAAGGGTTGTGATTTTCTGAGTTTTGGAAGTTGTCTCTGTGATTGAACTCCTGTAGGGGTCCATGTCTGGTGGCAGTGCTGTTTCTGAGTAGTGTAGGGGACTCAATAATCATGACATCTGGCTTCTGCTCAGGCAGGCCCATCTCTGAGAAAGCACCGTGTTCTATTACTTCAGCTGGCTGGCGTGGCTGTTGCATTGCAGCTCTCCTGGCTCTATAGACATCTTGGAGTCTGTGTCACAGCTTGGTGGGTTATTTTCTTCTTGATTATTTTTTTAAGCAATATCAAAACTAACTCTAAATGAAAAGCAGATGGTCCTGGCTAACTAGCAAATGAAGTTCATACTGTACAGCCAACTCAGTACCTTGTTTGAAAGGAAGATATTCTGCTTTTCAACAGAGAGGAGATTTTAGGTGGCATAGAGGGACTTCTGTCCTTCTTTTCCAGGTAAGATCTAGGGACAAAGACCTAGGAGATGATTTTTTAAAGCAGAAAATGTCAGTGTCTGTTAAGAAAAGAACTGATTAGATCACATATTATAAGTACTCAGCTTTGAAACTATGTCCTTCTCCATCAGACTCCCGAAGTCTGCTCATTGTATCAAGTGGCAATCGGTGTTTGTCAGGGGTAATAAAAATCGGGGAGCTTGCCTGGTAACAAACCCGTGCCTTGAAGTTACAGTTATCAGGGGACAGTGTGTTTCCCTAGGCTGTGTTGCTCCGCCAGCAGCTGCTTGAAACAAGCACAGATCCCTGCAAAACGTCATTCTCAGGCAAGTTTTACTAGGGTTATAAAATAAATCAGAATCCTCTCTCTTGTGGCAGTGTAACTCCATTCATTTTACATAGAGATGGTCATGCAGTTGATTCACTTGCAATTCGGTCACCTCTGTGAAACACTAACACTGCTCCTGACTTCAGAAGGCCAGTGTGAGACCTTGCTACTTGTTTACAATGACTGATTCTCTTTCCAAACTGAATTAGGCACGTTCATTGGCATAAAGGAGGATGGGAACAAAGCAGAACAAAATCATTGCTCTTCTAAGTCACGTCAAAGAGATTTAGCAGAAGTATTTAAGAGCCCTAAAAAAAATCCAGCCACGAGGGATTCCTATTTAATGCACTGATAATTTACATGTGCAAGCTGCCCCTTCCAGATGATTTCTTTCCATAAGCAGTCCGATTTAACATCGGAATCATGTGAGATTCTCATGGCCTGTAATTGTGCAAGATACCAAGATGTCAGCAATAGCACCTCTTGTGAGTCATCCTTCAGTTAAGAGCCCTCTCTGCTGGAAACAGGCTTCAAGCTGCTACTGCGAAACTCGAGTTTGACCCACAAGCTATGGGGCATACAGAGGTCAATTGAAGGCTCCTTCAGACTGGAATATTCCAGCTAAGAATCTCATTCCCTAACAGCAAAGTTAGCAGAAAGCTGACAAGAGTTTAGTGTTACACAGGCCACTTGCTTTCGTATCAGACATTGATCATCCAGAGCAGTTTTCCTGTAGTCTGGCAGTGTTGCTTTTTGTCCTGCTGTTTGAAATGAGAAGCATGTGGAAGTAATTGGCTCCTCTGCTTGCACCCAAACAGCTACAGAGATGATGAAACTTGGGTGACCTTTGATAAGACTTTATGGTTCTAGTCTAAAATACTTCCTCTGGTCCTACAGCAGGACTGGCAAATGTACTTCAGCACGCACCGACAGCTGGTTTGCCATGTCTCTTCCAGGTGTTTGGCTTACAGATCTGGTGCATGTAGCAGCACATGAAATAGGACATGCCTTGGGTCTCATGCACTCCCTGAACCCCAATGCCCTCATGCACATCAACGCCACGCTGACTGGGAAAAAGTCCATCTCTCAGGATGAAGTTTGGGGAATTCACAGGCTTTACGGTAAGCAAAGCAGGGTTCTGCTCTAGGCTGTGCTGTGTAAAGGTTTGTCTGATATCAGCTGCATCCTGTGGAGCTCTCATGTTGTTAGACCCTCAGCATTTGGCAGGACTAGGCCTTAAGCCAGCGAGCAGGAGCAATCCTAGTTCTTTTTATGCAAAGCTAAAAGGAGGTGTAGTGCTTGTTTCCAGCACTGCTCACTCCAAATGTGATGGACAGGAAGTTTCAGTCCACTCTGTGTTCTCTTTTGGTTGGACTTCTTAGTTTTATCATCTTGTATTAATAAATCTATCTGTAACCAACCAGGCTGTGGCCAAGCTTCTCTCAAGCTCTGACATATTTGCCTGTTACTCTTCAAACATTAGCTGGTGTAGGATGTAGAAATGGATACTCTTGAACCACTGATGCTACTACTTAATATTGAGACTGTTATGCATACCATAATGGCACCCTGCTTTATCTAGTTATTGTATTCATATTATTGTACTCTTGGTTTCGATGCTTTCCTGTCCCAGCTCTACCATTTACCTTGAACAATCTGATTTAGGTGAAATGTCTGTTTGCTTCTCAGAAGGAAGAGTCTACCCTAGTCTCTCCAATGCCTTGTCTCCTCCTCTTTCAGGATGTAAAGACAGATTATTTATGTGCCCATCGTGGGCACAAAAAGGATTCTGTGAGAAGCGCAGGAAGCTGATGAAAAAGCACTGTCCATCTACTTGTGACTTCTGCTATGGTATGGCACTTGTCTTCTGCTCTTCTTGGTGGGGCTTGCACAAAGGGAGGACGTAGAAGTTAAGTGGTGTCTGCTGCAGGGATGGGCAGGATCTTAATTCCACATGGGCTCAGAGCGCATCTGGGCAATTCAGCTTCAGATAATACCTACACACCTTAAGAAGATGGATCATGTAACTAGTACTGCTTTCTCCAGGACAGAGGTATTACTTTAGACCAGACTAATACTAAAGATGCAGTCATATAATTACAAGCCATATATTCTAGAGAGCTGTTCATACACTGAATGTACACGCTTCCATGGGCAAGTTGATTTTTATCTACCTCTGTCACTTTACATGCCCCACAACTGTTACCTTTGCACATGAATATGTTACATGTCTGCCCAAGAACTGCTCAGTAGGAATTATATATATAAATATATATATTTATAAATTGATACTTTTATGGTGCCTTAGGTAATAACATAACTCTGTGAGTGTTTTGGAATGCCAGGAGCTCAGCCAGGAGATATGCTGACTTCTACCATTTCTTTCTCTCATCTCTGATGGACAGAATTCCCATTTCCAACAGTCCCCCCAACTCTGCCCCCACCAAGGACAAAAACCAAGACTGTTTCTGAAGGCAGGAACGTCACTTTCCGCTGTGGACAGAAGATCATTCATAAGAAAGGCAAAGTTTAGTAAGTGCTCTGTCATTTCCTCTAGTCCTTTAGGAAGCTTTACAGTTTACATACCAAAAATGAGGAGGAAGGATAGCAAAACCATGTAAATAAGAGCAGAGTTTATCTTCTAGAGCATGTCACTGTCCCATCTGATACTAGAGTAGAGAGGCTCACTGTGAGAAGGGAGCTTACAGATACCATCCCAACATTGCAAAGCATCAAGTCTGAAAGCAGAGCTGGGTTGAAAAAGGATAAAATCCAATTTACCTGTAGCACAAAGGTAATACTTAAAATCAGTTCAAATTCCCTGGCCTGTATTTTGGAAGAGTTACATTTACCCTTTCAGTTAATAGTTTGTTAGCTGTTACTGACGAACAACTGTGTTATTTCTGGATGTATCTAAAATTGAGAGTCCATGGGTTACTTTAGCCTGAGGACCCAAATTCCCATTAAGGTTCAGTAAGATTCAAGCTCCTGAATTACTCAGTTTAGTGCCCTGTTGTAACTTGACCTTGTTTTGTCCCATCTTTGCTGTACACTTACTTATCCAGCAAAACATACTAGAAGAACCACTCCCACATATTAACTGGTAGAATGCATTCTGGAGTTTAATTTAATTTCTATTCTTTTCCTTACAACAGCTGGTATAAAGATAAGGAGCTTCTGGAATACTCATATCCAGGTTACTTATCCTTAAATGAAGATCACATGAGCATCATTGCAAATGCAATTAATGAAGGAACTTACACTTGTATAGTAAAGAAAAAAGAAAGAATCTTGACTACTTATTCCTGGAGGATCAGACTGAAGCATTAACAGAGGCCTGAGAGCTTCCCTTCTGCTTGTTCTGTTTCAAATTCAGAGCGTTCCTTTGGCATTTTATATTTAATCTCCAGTTGTGCAATTGAAATTCTACATCAGCTGCTTCCACACCTTGGGCAAAAGGGACTCAGACTTGATCACTGGAATGTAAAACTTTTCCAAATTACTTTTCATGATAAAGGATTTATCAAGTATGTGCTGTACAGAGAATTAAAAGAGTTGGTTTTTATGAAGTGTCAGGTTTTGCAGTTGAAGTGTGGAACTCCACAGACTGCTGGAAAACAGGAATGTCACTTCATCAAAGGAACGGATGGATGGATTGCTAGCCCAGCTGCTGCAATGGAGGCAGAGGTATTGTGGAAGGAAAACAACCAGTTACACTCTCTAAGTGTTTTGCTGACCTTTGTTTTTTAGATCCTGGTACATGACAATAGCAGAACTTGGGAAAAGTATAAGATCCAATATTACCTTTTCTTTTATTTGTCACCAAACCCTTTCTAATGATGCCATTCCACATATTGACATGCTTAGTTCCAGTATCCACAGAACACCTTTCCTGTCCTCCACCCGCTTTCCTGTGGTTTGTATTTATTACTCATGTAATCTCATCCCTGAGGCTGTTTACCTCTGTCAGCAGCTCCAACATATCCTTCAGGTGTCTGATCAATAAGCCTCTTGCCACTTTCAACAGAGATGTGGTAATTTCCATAAGTAATTTCCATCACTATCCTCCCCCAGTCACCAAACCATGGACTAAATGTGCCACATCCAACAGGAAAATCTTGTTAGTATTGGCTGGCAACACCCAGTGCACTCCAATGTCCACAGTGGTGGAGCATTCCCTCACAGTAAGGAATCCCTGACAGTCATGACATTTAGCAGGATTAAAGCACCTGCATTGCTCTTTCCTTAGGTTCAGCCTTTTCCCTGACTGCAGCAATGCCAAGGAAGCTGGGAAGGAAATAAATAACCTGACAGAGTGCAAGAAAGATGCACAGCCTGAAACACAAAATATACACACTCTTAGCACAGCCATGGGTTCTCTTTTCCTGTACTCTGGGCGATGTTGTAATAACACCCTGCTTCATAGTAGGTGTTACTGATCTCCACCTAGGAGGAAACCTTGCTAAAATCATGCACATTTCAGTTAACAGACCAGTAATAAACTGGTTTTCCTTCCATACCAGACAACCAGTTGGGCCTAAAGAAAAAACAGTTCTGCATTCCTCCACAGAAAAACCCCAAACCAAACAAACCCAACTAGTTCCAAAATTTACCACAGTTTTAGTACATCCAAATTCCAGTTCCGAGGCCTTTACCCAGGAAAAACCTCTTAAATTATAAACATTCTATCAGTTTCAGTACATTTTAAGTTAATCCTTTTATTGGACTGGTGCCTAGCTCTGACTGCACAAATACCTCAGTATTTTCCAAATCTTCCTGTTCCCAGAAAAGACCAGCAGCATTGTAAATCAGAGACTCAAAAGGATGTGATACTCCACCGTGATTCCTCAGGAGAAAGGACTGGAATATGGCATTATACAGTCAGGAAAGCTGAGCTCTTCTTTCTATGAAAAAGGGGTGTATTTAAAAGAACTTCCTATAGAAAATAAAGTTTCAAAGTCTCCATATTAAATCTTTTTGATTTACAAACCAATAGCATATTCCTTTTGCACCAGCACCACTGTAAATACATAGATACAGCACAACAAACCACAGTCAGCTCAGCAGAGCACCCAAAAATACGGCCAGGGAGGAGTATCAAAAGCCTAACAGGAAAGAGACCTCAGGACTGGAATGGAGTTTTTGTCCTGAACTATATTCAGACACCTCCAATTTACTAACACCAAACACAGTACGAAAGGGTTGTTTGCCCAGGCTGACAATATGCTGCAATAGTTCTAGAAGACTTAATGCCACCACCGTCCAAGTTTGCTGCATGTGAAGAAATGAACTCTTTCCCACTGTTAAACAATTAAAAATGTATTTTAATTCTACAAATTTACAAGGAAAAAAAAAAACAAAAACCCAACAAAATAAACCCAACAAAACTTAAAAATAAACCAGAGACTGTTCCAGGATTGAACTTCAAGTTTTGCCTTGTCAAATTTTGTAATGATCCTTGGCTTTTCAGGTTAATTCCAGTCCTCTAATGGAATGCAGCAGTCATACTCCACACCCAGCAAGAGCCTTTGCATCTGTGATGACATTTGACTTTTCCCCTGTGAAAAACATCTAGTCTCCCTGCTGTGAAGAACTGAACTGGGGCACTCAGAAATCCACTCACATGAATGGTTCTTTTCTTTGTTTTTTAATCCTCTTTTCACACTGAGTTTAAAACTTGAGGCTGAAGCCAGGTCCTGCAGCAGATGCTCCTTGAGTGGTGGTGGTCAGATGAAAACCCGTGTCTTTCAGATCGTCATCACCCTGTGAAAACCAAGCACAATTCATTTATCAGTAAATGTCTATTACCTTTTCAACCCCAAAATCTAAAGTGACAATAAAACCCATCAAAGTATCTTTAGGAGATGAGAAATAAATGTTTGATCCAGTGGCATCACACAGCCCAGTACAAGTCATGTGAACTGTTCCTAAAGCAGCATTTGCACATGTCTAAGGACATCACAGGTCCACAAGCAGAGGGTTGGTATCTTTACTGTTCCTTCCGACCCAAACCCTTCTGTGATTCTAAGTCAGTGTCAGCTGCTGTACTCACCAACTGACTGTATCCAAGGCCTCCCTCAGGTGGTCGAGGGCTGGTGCCACGTTTCACCCTTTGCTGTTCACTTTTTGCTGGCCAGGTAGGAAACATGGAAGGGTCGATGGGAAGCGGAGTCTCCCGGAAATACTCATGCTTCAGCCCATCCTCAGCAGTAATTCTTCGTGCTGGGTAGTAGGTCAAAAAGCTGAGAAGGAAGTAGGAAGACAATCAGGGAAGAAGAATATTGAAACACAGTTTAACTTAACTGGACACTGAGTATTTTAAACCACTTGCAATACAGAAACATGTTTTACTCTACTATTCATTCCACACAGCAATATATTTTACACTTACGTGTTTCTGCAAATTCCAGACCCAAATCAGTACTATTTTCTTATCCAAAATAATGAAGACAGATAGATAGACATCACATCAGTGTCATCTACTTCTTAATTGCTTTGGTTATGACAGGGCTATGTCTGTCTTTGTTAAGAAGACTTGGACCTTCTGAAAAGAAATCTAACTGCCAATAAATTATTCACAACTCAGTCAAAAACCTTAAAACCTCAGTCTTAAAAACAGGGAAGAGTGAAAAACCTCTTATTTTTTTAATAAAGTTCTAAGATCTGAAACAATCATTTACTTCATGTCGTGACATTTAAAGGGAATATTAGGGGAGAATAAAAATCTCTCAAGCCACTGTCAACCTTGTAAAGAAAAACTGAAATGCAATCAGAATGCACCAGTAGAGTTAGATGAAAGAACTGCCAGAGTATCAGATGTGCTGGAACTCATGAATTTGTGAACATGTAGGAAAAAAAACAAAATTGCTATTTCCTAATTCTATAATAGAATTAGGATAGAATTAGAATAATTCTAGCATAAATAATTATATCCTAAATCCTAATCAAAATAATAGAATTCTATAATAGAATTAGGAAATTTTGTTAAATTTCTGAATGTACTGGGTTTTTTTCCTCTTTTTCCAGTTGTAATTGGAAATTGGAACAGTTGTTTAAACAACTGAATTGTTTTAACAAAGTCCATAACAGCAGACTCACCATGTAATTAAACATGACATGAATGAACTAAAACTACTACTAAAACATTTTTCTGTTCTTCTAGGATATAGATGTGCAAGAATAATCTTGGACTGAGATTTAACAGCAGGTGTTAAGAGCATGGTACACTGAATAAAGCTGCTGTGAGAGAGAGTGAGGAATAGCACTGCAAGGGATGTCTCAGACAAACTTCAGCAGCATCAGCATGTTTTGACAAGGTCAGATGCACTGAAATGCCATGTTTCACTATGAATCACTTTCTATCACTGTTGTAGCATGTGAGTACAATTCCCAGTGATGCAATGAAGCACTTACTTACTTGTTCATCAGATCAAACCCCTGATCAGAGAGGAGGGCTCCAAATCTCTTGCGCAGGTTGTTGTAGGGATACTCGGTGAATGTCATCTTCTTGACTGCTGGCAGCTCATTGTAACCAGGCCAGATTTTTTCACTTGGAGTGCCCAGATCCTGCAAATTAAGACACCTCTTTAATAAACTCATTCTAGAGGGAAACTCTTCTACTTACTCATTATGTAGTTACAGGAGTTGGTTACATATTCAGAGAAAACAAAGCAAAGCAAAAACCATGGTCTGTGTGTATTATGAAACAAGAATCAGAGTAAAGAGTCCTTCATTAAGGTTGAATCTAAAAAGAGCAATAAGCACTTTTTGTATCTTACTACTCTCATGTACCTGTCTCCAACCCAGTTGGTCAGAACCCACTGGTGTTAAAAACCTTACCTTAAAAACTTTGTTAATCTGGTCGATCTCTGACTTCCCTGGAAACAGGGGTTTCTGCGTTAAGAGCTCTCCAAATATACACCCCACTGACCACATGTCTATCGCTGTTGAATACTCCTGAAAAGAAGGGATATATGACATTCCCACCCCCAAGGCACAGATCTCTGTATCTGAAAGTCAAAATTACTGTGAATTATGAGTAATACCCATGCATACAAACACTTCAGGATGAAACACAGGTCTCCACAATGCTGCCTTTCTTTTGCACTCACACACAGAGCATCACAACCAACAAAACACTCTAACTTGCACTCTCTTGCAGAGATCTTTAGCCCTTATTTTGCCCCAACAGCAATCTCAGGTTATGGGAAAAGCCTGGTCGCCATGGTACATCTCTTAAATATAACAATTTCTATTAAAGTCATCCTTGTAAGACAGCACAGGGCAGTATTTTTTCCTGGGACGGTTCTTGTCACTGAAGCCCCATAGATTTCATCTGGATTTCCATTATAAAACAGGTAATCAGTAGGGAACATGGCCAGAACGTTGTTGCCTTGTTCTGCTCTCCAGTGTCACAATTTATACACTAGCATTAAAAATACAAATCCAGCTGCCCAGGGTGCCAGGGACAGTTTGCACCAGTCCAGTACCACCACATCAGTACTCTAAGAGAGAGAACTTCATCTGTCATCCACCCACCTTCTGCCTATGGAAGATGGAAGCCTTTTAGCTGTGTTATTAGGGAAAATAATACTGCAGTTTCAGAATTTCCACCTCTAAATCAATATAAAGCACTGAGCATACTTATACTTTGTTCATAAATTACATGGTCTGAAGAGTCATTCCTTTAGCAGCCAGAGGAACAAGGAGAAACATACCTTTGCTCCAAGCAACAACTCCGGAGCCCTGTACCAAAGTGTCACAACCACTGGTGTGTAGGGCTTCAGTGGAGATCCATATTCTCGGGCTAGTCCAAAATCTCCAACCTAAATGAAAACTGGTGATCAGTAACATTTCCAACATTCCAGTGCCAGCTTGTGCTGGCCATGTTGGCTCTTGCAGAGCTTCCAGCCTCCAGAAACAGCCACACAGAATGTGCTGTTTCTTATGGCCCTTCCTTGTCTTTTTCCACTGCTGGGGAAAAAAACATTTTTCCCTGCCTGAGGCCAAGCAAGAGCTCCTGTTATTGATCATCTCAACAGAAAGGTTGTATGGGAGGGCGAGAACAAAGCCAAAACCAACAACAGATGCCAACTTCAATTTTGCAAGCAAGGGAAAAATTCAAAGTCCAGTTTTCCTGAGAAAGGGAAAGGCTTAACTGCAAGATGTAAATAATGGCAATATACAACTGGCATCTAGAACTCAGATGTAAAAACTGAAATGTTATGTCCTCATCTTAGTACTGCTTTTCTCTTAGATTTTTGTGAGTCAGTGAAGGTTTAGAATCTCCATCTCCACCAGTAACTGCACCATTCAGCACTACTACAGAGACTTAGATTCTTTTTTAAGCCTTCCAACCCCTCAAGCTGAAAAGAGCAACCCCAAACACTGCGATGCTGATACAGAAAATGACATTGTCACACATGTGCTGCATCACCAAGATGAGACACTATAGATCTTTATAGATCACACTACAGAGAGTTCAGTATTCACTAGGCCATCCTTATTGGTCACATCTCAGCACAGATCTTACAGCTGCAGCAAAGCAGTCTCTTCAATAGCAAAGTTCACTTCTTCACAACCATATGTTTTACACCTCAAACATCCTACAGATTAATGCAAAACATCCTGCCCAGCTGCTGACCTAGCTCTAATGCAGTGTAATTCTGCAGTACAAGTGGGGGATCTCATGTAATTCTTACTTTTAAAATGCCTGAATGACTGAGCAACAGGTTGGAAGTTTTCAGGTCCCGGTGAAGTATCCAGTTGTCATGCAGATGCTTGACTCCTCGCAGCAACTGAATCATCAGGGTTTTCACTTCACCTGAAATGGTGAAACGAAGCCAAATGCATTTAAAAGCACAGTATAAACTGCACCGTTAAGAGTATGTCACAGAACAAGAGCAGTTAAACCCAGAGAGCTGCCAATAAAGCAGAATTCATCTGGGTAACTGGAATGCTCCAAACAATGCTCAGAAATCAATGCCTCAAAAACACAGGAAGTGGCCAAATTTAAACCTCAGTGTTCTTTTCCAGTTTAGCACAGGGGAAACTCCCTTGATTTCACATCTGAACCTCCACCCTAAGTAAACTAGATTGATTAGCCAAGTGTCACTATGAGTATCAGCACTCCCCACCTACAACCCTATCTTGTGTGGGTAAAATCAGACCGAACAGAGAAAAAGCAACA